TGTACGACCTGTCAAATACTGCCGTAATAAAAGCCGACAGGAGCACTGAAGCACATCATACGGCCGACGGGAGTATGTAAGTTTGTTGGCACGAGTTTTAATCCGTGCGGCCTATGCTTACAGTTTCCAGCCACATCGCATTCCACTACAGCTGCCTACGGATAGCTGATAGCATCATCAGCGGTAGGCCGGTCAAATCGAGCCCGGTGCTTCCAGGCCTAACAACCATGCGGGCTACAATAGCGTCGGTCCGCTAAGTTGGGGCGGGTCTATGTAACTGAGAATTAGCGTAGGAATAGATAAGTTTTATTTTAGAGTAAAACCGTGTACGCCGGGCCCGCTGTCTTACCTCTGCTTTTACTGACAGCGCTGAGTTTGTGTGCGAGTGGCGTCTCTCGTTTCGTATCCACAAGATGGCTGAATGTAGGTCACGTGACAAACACGTATGCTGAAAATTGCCCGGATGAGAGTGAGCGTGCTGACAGCAGCACTTCCCTAGCGCGCACGCGTTAGATTTCCATGTTTTATGGGGACTTTTCATAGACCTGAATCAGAAATCGCCCACTAAACCCTAATTCACTATTCCCTACCTTAGTCCACTAATACTGTTGACTTGAAGCAGTGAATGAAAACGAGTAAGCGAATTCGGACAGCCGTTGAGCGTTCATCGGGTGTAACTTACACTTGTTATTGCGGTGCAATGTGGGATAGAAGGACTGTGCACTCAATAACGTCCACTATGGTTTCGGACACCACTACAAATGTCTGTCCCCTCAAATAACGCCCTATTTGAGGGTATTGGGGGCGATTTCGGATTATAATTTTTTAGGCTAGGCCTACATGATTTTTTATACAGGCCTACAAACTTATTATATGCTATCTACTATCCCCTAACCCATAGCCTACCTATCACAGAAAACTTTCAGCATTTTTACATTTTCAAAAAACATCACAGTATGATTTACAATATGTTTTTCCTTATTATGGGGACTAAAAAAATGTCCCATATGGTCAGGTCAAAAACAGTGCAAAATAAAAAAACAGAAAAGAAAATTATCTAGGCATATTGGTCTTTTAATGGTCTTGACTTAACTAATTAAATAATAGCCTAATTCACTTGTTAACAATAACAATTTCAGGAAATTAGCAAGAATTGCACAGATATGTAGATAAAGTAACTTAGTCCAGAAGCCTCCTCTTTGTTTTCTTTTACTGCAGGCCTATAAGCCATGTGATGTGGGTAAACTTGCAAACAGCTTTTTACAGGAAGTGTCGTTCCACTCAATGTTAATGGCTTCAAACTGTTCATGAGTTGAAAAATGTCTACCAGTTCCTTTGAGTTTAATGTGAGACCAAAATAGAGTTCAAATCTGGACTCTGACCAGGTCAAAACATGAGCCTGATGGACTTGTTCTCAAGACATTTCTTGGTTGCCTATGCAATCTGGGCAGAAGCATTGTCTTGTTGAAAAATAACATCTGATCATTCCTCTTTAGATTACAACTTTTCATTTGTGGGAAGTAAGCGATTCTGCAATATTCTCATGTAGCCTACACCAAAACATAAAAATTACTTTTAAGTGCCGCTAGCAATTTTAGGCCCTATATGAAAGAATGAGGTTGGGCCCCCATCCCCCCATTAATAAAATTGATTTCTGTAATCGTCCTAACTTTCACCCCTGCCAGCAACTGAAAAGACAGAAAAATGAAAATGACACTCTTCCTCCATGCTTCACTGTGGTATGCATTTATTATTATATTTCTAAGCAGATTTTTGAAAGACAACGTTCTGGAGCATCACCACACAACTCGTGTTTCATTGTGATTCATCACTCCAGACACAACTTCCCAAATTCTACCAAAAACTTTCTGTCTTTGATGTTTTTCTGAGAAGTGGCTCTCACATTTGCTTAAATTTAGCTAATTTCCTGACCAATAATTTGTGGTTAAGACCATGTGGTATATGTGTATAGCCGATATACTGTATGTAGGCTATATGTTTATTTTTTATTAACCTATTTTTGCATAGGCCTACATAAATGTTTACCACACAATTTAGGTACTTCCTTGAGTTGTGTTCTTAAATAAATGCAATTTACAAAGCAAATCAACAGCAATTTCTTTGATAATCATTATAGTTTTAAAACACATAATACACATATTTTATTTCTATGCTTATTATATGCATTTAATATGTTAAACTCAATTTCTTTTTGTCTGCAAATCAAGAAAACAGCTTAATATTAAATCATGATTGATTATTTAATCAGTGAACATCATAATTCTCTCTCTTCCTCTGGAAACATATCACTCTAACCCTTATATGCTATCATCTTTATCTGAAACCAAGCACGAACAGGCAAATGTGTTGTCAGTCAGGCAACAAGATTTTGAGAAACGGCACATATAATATTACTTTAAAGTATCTATGTTATGTACTGCCCCCAAAACAGTCAAAACAAATTTCCTCTGATTGCAATTGTGATCCTCTTTGCCTTCCATACAAGCGGACTTATGTATTCGAGATTCGAGATTCCTTTATTTGTCATTTTCATGGTGTACATAAAAACGAAATTGTGTTTCACACATCCACCACTCAGTAATTCAGTGCAATAGTAACTAATCAAAAAAGCACAATTTAAATATAAATATAAATACACTAAAATACATTAGAAAAAGAATAAAAGAATAAAATACATAAATAATTTCAAATTTCAAATCACGTTCTCTGGTTAAGCAGTCTAACAGCTGTGGGGAAAAAGCTATTTAATAGCCTACTAGTTCTGAGTACATACTATATGACTAATTCCTTTTTTTTATCATTTATGTTGCCTGATAATTGCCTATAATTCACTTTTCAACCTTTTTGTGTCCATCAGTGAACATATTTCAACACATTATTTATAAATCATTTTACGTCAGTCATCATTATTCGGAAAAATTAGTAAGTTGTGTGTGATTCATTTGAGACACTGATAAAAAAAAAAATCATAGTTTCTAATCAGCTTTCGCATTCATTTTAAATCTTGTTGTGTGATATGCATTTTAAAAGAATCGTCTTGCATGAGCTCACCAAAGCCACATGCATTATACTTGTAAATTAAAATGCAAGATGAAGTGTAGTATATATTACACCACAGGGCATTTTAACTTCCCAAACACCAACTACCATCTAATTATACTGACTAAGAGAAAATGAAGTAGCCATACTTACAGGCTAACAGGAAGATATCAGAAAAGTACCATAGCTGTTTCTGTTAGCAAGGATGTGGTCACAGGCAAGAACTCTGAAAACAGAAGTGCTTATAGCATTTAGGGGAAAGTATCATCCTGGTAAGACACTCCATATTTAATTCAGCGATTCTTATTTTGTGTGTGTTCAGGTCATAACCTTTTCATGAAGTCAGTATTACACAGAGGCATAGTTTCAGTAAATGTATTCTTCTCTTCCAGCATGGTTAAAGGTTCTTGCAGGTTCATTGTAACAGTGTGTGGAAAAATATGACAATTGTTAATGTAACAATTATTTGACCAGTTATTCATTATAGTGTATACAGGTGGAACAAACCTAGTCCTCACTTCCTGCAAGGGACTGCTAGTAAAGGTGATTTTGTGCACCAGACATGATTTCGTGAGAGATGCAGCCCACATGTCTAAAAAGGGGAAAGACTGTGGTTTATTGGCATGCGTTTCAAGACTTAGATGCAGAAGCATATGAAATGTCAAAAAGGTTTAACGATTCAGAGACGTTACATGCGTGAGAGGGAAGCTTAAAAATGATATGGCTGCATTTCATAGATAATGCAAGAAGAAAAAAAAGACATCCGTCAGTTTGTCCTGCTTAGGTCACGTTCAACGGATTTTGTTCTTCTGGTTTATTGCTTTGAGAAAATATTGGTGATCTTTGGCAGCAGAGGTACGTGTCATACAACTACACTCATCTGTATGGGTGTTGTGAGATTAATGCAGGTTTTGTGTGTGCTTGTGTTTGCCAGCATGTGTCCAAAATTGGAGGTATTTTGTCATTTCATTGTTACACATTCACCATTTCCTTTCCAATTTTTTCTAACGGTCATATTTTGTTTCTTAACAAAGATTTTCTTCATGAGCGTATATAAAGCACGGAAAACTACCCCCAGTTTCACTCTAGAAGAAATGATACTTTGAAGTCATCAGCTAAGGTAAGAAAATACTAAAGAGCGGCAAAAATGACACGCAGAACAATTGAATGAATTGCACAAAACTGTCACTCATAACATTTGCTCATGTTTTTTAATAGTAAATAAATATTCACATCTGCTGAAGAAAATGTACATACATTTGTATTATATAAATTTGTCAATCAACCAATGTATACTATGATAAAAGTAAATATTAATATTATGAGTTTTAATGCAGCAGTGCATGTTGATTGCAGCAAGTTAATCTTGCTAATATTTGAGCATTATACGAAACAAGTGTCCATGAGAGTCAGATCACAATTTTTATTTGCAAGAATTTTCAAATCTGCCTCATTTTGCGGCAGCTGGTATGATCAGAAATAATTTTTACAAATAAAATTAAGGGTTTATCACATAGAGTAAATAAATGTTTATTATCAGCACATTGACATCGAGTTCTTTTTTTTTTTTTTTTTATGAGTGGAAACTTAGCACCCTGTAAAATGTTTGATGTGTCCAAAATATGAAACATCATTATGAGAAATAAGGTTCTAAATTTGAACAAAAATGTTTCGATTACAAAAAGCACACTTTTTTAAATATACATTTAACTTTTATCTAGAAAATGTGCAGTTCTGTGTTTACAAGTTTGAGCAAGGCAGGTTTAAAAATACATTTTGCAACTATTCTAAAATAAATACATAAACAAATCAATATAAACCTTTGCATCGACAAGTGAAAAAGAAATCATGACTAATGATTCTGCATGTGATTTATACATTTCAGCTGTGAAAGTTCACAAAGACGTATGTGTTATTTTTCGTACCTCTCTATAGTTTCACTATGAACTGCTCAACTAAAGATGTGGACACTTTGACGCAGAAGTTGGACTTGGTGATTTACGTGCCCGTCTTGGTGTTCGGCTTGGCGTTAAACATTGCGGCATTGGTGGTGTTCTGTCGGCTGCTCAGATGGACAGAGTCCTCTATCTACATGACCAACCTGGCCCTGATGGACCTGCTGTTGCTGCTGCAGCTGCCCTTCAAAATGCATGCGGCACACCACAAGTGGGAAGAAGACAAGATGTTCCTTTGCTCTTTCCTAGAAAGCCTTTACTTTGTGGCTATGTACGGCAGCATCTACACAATTGCATGCATAGCCATAGACCGATACATCGCCATAAACCACCCGTTTCAAGCCAAGCAGGTGCGTTCGAGAAAAAACGCCTTGATTGTTTGCGTTTTAATCTGGGCATTTGTTATGGGAGCGACTTCACCCATCTACACCTTCCGGGATAAAAGGAAGGGTAATTTCACTTGTTTCCACGGGTTCTCTAAGAATGGTTGGAGCACTGTAATAATTGTGTGCCTGGAGGTCTTTGGTTTCCTGTTGCCTGCCGCTATACTGGTGGTTTGTTCCATTCAAAGCATCCGTACTCTCAAAGCCTCAAAAAGCAGCAACCCCAAGAGGCAAGGTGGTGTGAGAATCATCTACAGCAGCCTAGCAGCCTTCCTAGTGCCCTTCACCCCGTGTCACATAGCCATATTCCTGCAGTATCTGGTCCGTAATGAATTTATTGTAGACTGCAAACATCAAAAGAACATCGCCCTCTTCATACAGGTGTCGATGAACATTGCAAATGTGACTTGCTGCTTGGATGCGCTGTGTTACTATTTCATCGCGAAGGAAGTCCGATCCACCAAGGACACACTTAGACTGTCCATCAACAGAGCGAGAACCACCAGCAGCTCAGATGTTTGAGAAGTCAAATTCAGTTTATTCGTGTTTCAGAATGTGTGTTGAGGGCTTTCCAGCGGGAGTAAGAGACAGCCTCGAAACCCTGCCCTCCAAAGCCATGGCAACAAACCCACACACAGAATGAATGTCGAGATCATTTCTGATAGCATTTCCGCTCCCCTGACCCCTTTTCGCTGTTTTAGAGTCTAGGGCTGTGATTGTGATTTCTAGATTTCACGTAAATGCTTACTGCATTTAATATAGTGCTGCAGGGATGACATATTTTCTAAGCCAAAACCCATACATGAGTTTTTGCCCTCCTGTTTGCATAGTCCTTAAGTCAATTGTTGTTTTTGTTGTTGTTTTTTATTTTTTTATGGGTTTTTGGTTAAATGCCTGAAATAAGACCATGCAGAACCTCACTGTTTATCTTGACACTTTTGCAAACTACCTCCAACTTTCAGAGACAATGAAGACTGAAAGAGTTGTCGGTTGCCATTAAAATCATGCGGCCTTGTTTATACGGTTAGCTTTGTACTTCTGTCAAGTGTGTTTAGGCTTCAAAATTCATACAAGTTGTGTTTATTTGTGAAGATAATCTTGATGAACAAAACATGTAAGAATCATAAACCTTTGTTGGTTACAGAGCTTATTTTCTGCAACAATCCAAAAGCCTATTTGTTTTTGTCAAGGGAACCAGGGCGATGCTAACTTTCAGGCTGGCATACAAAAAAATGTAATCACTGCAGTGCTCCAATGAATTTGATTTGAATTCTAAATTAAATTGTTTCTGTCCATTTGTGATGTGATCAGGAAAAAATGGTTCACCAAAGATTCTGTATTTGTCTTTATCTAACAGCTCACTGTCAACATGAAAAACTTGAGGTGTTCCTCTTCACACGCGATGGTCGTCTGGCAAACCATCTTGAAACCTTCACAATGACTCATAAATGTTTCTGATGCAAAACTCGCAATGGCATTACACACTTCCCAATTATCTCTTTTGTTCTGTAATCTGCCTCCTAAATCAGAAGATTAAAATATTTGTGTAGACTTGTTTCACAAGAATCAACAAGAATTTCATTAGTGTTGTGTTAGTGTAAAACAGGTTCCCATTGGGCAAGAGTTTTGTCATTGATTTCCACTAGTTGTGGGTATTTGTGTGGGTACGGAGCCATGTCACTAGTTTCACCTAGTCAGATGGTGAGTGTCTTACATCATATCTCATCATATCTATAATTCAGCTGGTGAAGTGTGGCAGAGCGCAGGTGAAAACATACTGTACGCATCCTTACGTCAGGTTCACATACTCCGTTTGCAGAGTTTTCTTTGTTGTTGAGTATTTTATTTAGGTGCCTATTGTATTTGAGTTATTGTTCTTACGAAATTTGCATTAAAAAGGACCAAAAACTTTAGAAAACACATTTGGACGTACAATGATTTTTTTTTTTTTTTTTTTTTATGGAAAATATATGCATTTTCTGGGCTAAAATAAACTCACTATGGAGCCTTGACAGCATGTGGCAACATGTGCTAATGTGTCCTTCACTTCCTTGTTGCCAAGAATTTCAAGCACAGACACTGCAAATAGATTCAATTTTATGTCATATATAAAAAATAATAATTTTGTGCATTATTTATAAATGACAATGTCCCATTGAAGGTTAAAGTGTTTGTGATTTTAACATAAGAAAAGTATTTTTAAATGTTTTTGCCACTTGATTGAGCAACTTAATATACTGTAGATATAATATAGAAGTAGGCCTAATGAATTGAATAATACGTTGTTTAAATTTAGTGCGTTTGAATGTGAATATGTCAACGAATGATTGTATAACTGTACTGTGTACAAAAAGAAACACATTAATGAACAAACTTTTGGATTTGAAATTAAAATAATGAATAACTGTTGTGTTTGTGGCATACAGCCCCAATCAGTTGATCACTGCAAACGCGTCGAATGTGAAGCACAATGAGCTTCTGCACCGCGTACTACAATAAGCACTTCAAACGGAGTAGGCCTATGTTTGAACCTAGCATAAGTCAGATACAAGTACATGATAAGCGGTTATGAACACATGCACAAACATGTTACTCTTTCAGGCAAATCAGAATAAAACATTCTGCACATGCATAGAGTAGGTAAGATATAGGGGGGAAATGTCTGACTGTGTTTTGAACCGAAAAGCCTGGAGATCATAAAAACACCTGCTTGTGGTTACACCAGGACATGCTGCGGTATGTGTTGTTTAGTGCTACTGCCAGCTACTAAAATTACCCCTGATAGTCAGTCTCAATAATAATAATAAAAAAATGTGATAATGATAAAGAGGAAAATAACACTGGAGTCCTTGATGAAGCCATATTGAACTGACCTACTGAAGTCTGTGTGTTTTGCATCCACCGTGCTTCCTTTGTCTTTTTTAACGGTTGTTCATAGTACATCCTTGACCACATGCTCTTGAAGCACTTTAACCTATTTTACTCCTCGGCTTGCCTTCTATTTGGGGACAAAAAGTAGAATGAGAAGCTTCAAAGGGACATTTTTTGGACAGTTGTTGAAGGTTAAATTTTGTTAAATCTTTCAGTTATTCTCATTGTTAAAGATGTATGTACATTAATGGACTGGTTTGTCAACATCTCATCCTCAACCTCGGTCAGAAGGTTTGTAAGCAAATAAGTTCATGACAGCTTCAGTTCCCAAGCATTGATTTATTCCAATAAATCCACAAGTAGTTTGTTTACATGTAGTTTTATGAGTGTGGTTTCTGAAATAAATGAATAACAATGAATAAATTAAATAAACGTATCAAATATTTAACTACAATGCTGGCAAATATATATTGCAATAATAAAGCAACACTGACTTTGGGAATTGCAGTATTAAATGAAATTAAACTAATGACCACTAGGCGGAGCCCTTGCTCCAGTAATAGAACAGAGTCACAAGATTTTGCTAAACAAATAGAATGGGCCTACTCGTGATAAATCACTCTAACAACACCCTCAAACTGTAAATAGTATACTAAATGATAACATCACACAAATATTTCAGCGATCAATATCAGCATGGTTAATAAATGCATTTGCAATAAACACAGAGTGACCGTATATTTGTGCATGTCTGTTAATCGGAACTCTCTTCTTAACAATAGCATGTGCATAAATAGAACCACAAACAACAATATAGCCTTGAATAAACATACCTGCGTCTACTTATACACATACACATTCACTTAAAGTATATTAATAGAAACTTACGCTGTCAAGAACGCACACACATCCAAACAAACAACGATGTCTCGTTACAGCCGCAGATATGAACTTGTCCGTGCATGTCCCGACTCCGCCCACATGTGATGTCACAGATTAATTCAAATTAAGAGTTCGACAGGGATTTTATACAGCCGCCCCCTAATTTGTGCAGCAAATTAGAAATCAAATAAGGGTCCCTGTTCTTTGAAGTTATGTGCCGTTGGTATCCGTGGGCATCTCTGGTAGCACTATAAGTTTAGAAACAGGGCGACTGTAAACTCGGTTTCCAACAGTTACTTTCGCCACTCTTATTGTTCCATCACTGCTGGGAAGAACTTGGTTTACTCTGCCTACTGGCCAGAGGGCTCTGGGCAGTTGAGAGTCCATAACCATAACTACTTGCCCCACCGATAGATTTGGTGTAGATTTCCGCCACTTCGCACGGGGTTGTAGACTTGGCAAGTAATTCTGAATGAACTGTTTCCAGAAATGGTCAGCTATGACTTGACTATGTCGCCATTTCCTCTTTCCAAGCAATTCTCTTGTGCCATAAACCACTTGAGGGAGGGAGGCATCCCGCCGCCCCATGAGCAAGAGATTTGGAGTAACTGGGTCTGCATCTGATATCTCCGATGATACATAACCAAGTGGTTTAGAATTTAGTATTCCCTCCACTTCAATCAGAACAGTTAACAGTACTTCGTCAGATACAATTTGGTCTTTGAGTACTACTTGAAGACAGGATTTCACGGAGCGGATTTCACGCTCCCAGGCTCCACCAAAATGAGGTGCATGTGGAGGATTAAACTGAAATGAAATACTCTGTTCACTTAGTTTCTCTTTGATTGCTGGCTCAAGTGCAGAGAAACTTTCTTGGAGTTCTCGATTCCCACCTCTGAAATTTGTGCCCTGGTCTGATATTAATTCAACGGGTTTGCCTCGTCGTGCAATGAAACGACGTAACGCCATGAGAAAGGAGTCAGTGTCCATATTATGCAGAAGGTCTAAATGGATACACCTCGTAGTGAGACACTTGAAAATGATTCCCCAGCGTTTTTCATGTCTTCTGCCTATCTTTACTGTAAATGGTCCGAAGCAATCAACTCCAGTTGACCAGAAAGGAGGTTGGTATAAGCGAAGACGAGCAGCAGGAAGATCAGCCATTTTGGGGTTAACTGGATTACTACGCCATTTCCTGCAGTCTCTGCATTGGTGTTGATATTTCTTTATAGCTTGTCTACCTCGGATTATCCAGTATGTTCTTCGTACCTCTGCGAAGACACGTTCAGGACCAGGATGAAGTAGTCGGTTGTCGTAGTCTTGTATTATGAGTTTAGTGATGGGGTGATCAGGTGCCAGTACAATCGGATGTAAAGTATCAATCTCAAGTTTCTCAGCTTTGCGAAGGCGACCTCCTACCCGAATTAATCCCATGGTTTGATCATATTCAGGTGACAGAGTACTTAACCTACTGTTGGCGCGTATGACTTTAGCATTCTGCAGTGCATGGACTTCATCAGGGAAACTATCCTGCTGGGCTTGTCTCAGAAGAAGCAGTTCAGTATCAATGCGCTGTGAAGCTGACATTGCGGGTGTGACTGTCCCATGTACAGACTGGTAGGTAGCTTGGACTAAGTCTGCCCATGTTGTGTGCTGCTCTGGATCGGGTAGGGATGATTGAAGTACGGCAACATGAGCACAGAAAAAAGACTTTCTTAGCTCATTCTCATCTGATGAGTGTAAGAAAGGCTGTGTTGGCCAGTTTTCTGTTGACTCTTGTAGGAACTGAGGGCCATGAGTCCACTGACAAACATGAGATAGATCATTAAGAGATTTCCCTCTTGTAATATCATCAGCAGGGTTTAGTTCAGAGTTCACATATTTCCAGTTCTCTGAACTGGTCAACTCCTGTATTTCGGCAATCCGCGTGCCAACGAACACCTTGTAATGACAGGATTCAGATTTGATCCAAGTGAGAACTGTGGTGGAGTCTGTCCAGAGAACAGTGTTATGAATGGGTAAAGTAATTTCGGTTGATAGGAGTTTAGCCAGTTGGGCTCCGGTAAGGGCACCACACAGTTCCAGTCTGGGCATTGATAGCTGCTTTTTTGGTGCAACACGGGATCTGGCCATAACAAATGAGGTATGAATTCCTCCCTCCTTGTTCTGTAGACGCAGATATACCACTGAACCGTAAGCCCGTTCAGAGGCATCACAGAATATGTGTAGCTCTATCCTGTCATTGTTAGGTTCTGGACAAACTGGAAAATAGCACCTCGGCATGTCTACCAAAGGAAGATACTGCAGTTCATTGGTCCACTCCTGCCATTTGTTGAGCATCTCATCTTCAATGCAGTCATCCCAGCCTCTTTTGTTTATCCATAGAGCTTGAACAAGGATTTTTGCCCGGGTGGTATAAGGCAAGATATACCCAAGAGGGTCATATTGAGAAGCTAGCACTCTATAAATATTGCGCATGGTAGGCTCCTCTGTTGATAGTGGCCTGTTTCGATAGCCAAGCTTGTCAGAGAGGCAGTGCCAAGAGAGCCCGAGTGTCGATTCTTGTGGGTCTGTCTTGTTTACGGTCAGCCATAACTCACAGCTTTCCGATCGTGCCTCAGTTGGTAGATGAGCAATTACCTCTGGGTAGTTACTGGCCCATTGTCTTATTTCAAACCCCCCAGCTGATAGTGCAGCTCTCATTTTGTCTATTAGCTGTTTGGCTTCATATGTTGTGGGAAGGGACTGCAAACAGGTATCCACATAGAAGGATTTCAATACTGAGTCTGCTACCTCTTCATTGCTGTCGCGGTGGTCCAAGGCATGACGCTGGAGGGCATAGATTGCACAACATGGACTACATGTGGTTCCAAACGGCAGAACTCGCCACTCATAGATGTCAGGACTCCTCTCCTTTTCCATATCTCTCCACAAGAAGCGCAGCAATGGCTGATCTTCTGGAAGTAGGCGCACTTGGTGAAACATTGAACGAATGTCACCACTGATGGCCACAGGATATTGTCGGAATCTGAGGAGAACTCCCAATAAAGATGAACCTAACGTAGGTCCTGGAAGTAACTGAT